TAAGTCCTCTTTCAATGTTTATAAGTGAAAATAAATAGTGATTTCGCTTGTCCTCATCACCATTCTAATTTCATCGTACAGGCACGATTGTTTAGTAATGTTTCATTTTTCATTTGTTTCTATGAATTGGAATGACCTGAAATTTGAAGTGTGTGTACATCTTAGTGAGGGGCACCCAATAAAAATATAAAAAAAATAATTCGTGAAAACAAAATTGATCAAAATACCCTTGAAACGTTTTGGGGATAATTTGGTCAATGTTTTTCATGTAAAATATTTTTTTGATATTTTTCATAGATTCACCTATTTGTTTTGAACATACTCTCCAAATTTCAGATCATTTCAATTTGTAGAAAAAAGTTGAAAAATGAAATACTACCGGACAATCGTGACCGTACGATGAACTTTGAACGGTGATGAGGATAGGCGAAATCGCTGTTCATTTTCGTCTATAGGGGTTTCTTAGTATCTTCCACTCTCTCGCCTATAGGTGAAAATGAACATTGATTTCGCATACCCTCATTACCGTCTAAAGTTCATCGCACGGTTACGATTGTTCCGTAGTATTTCAATTTTTTTTTTTTTACAAGTCGAAATGACCTGAAATTTGGTGTGTGTGTTCATAAAAAATAAAAAAATCTAAGAAAAATATAAAAAAAATATATTTTAAATGAAAACAATTGACCATAATGTACCCAAAAAGTTTCAGGGGTATTTTGGTCAATTTATTTTTCACGAATTTTTTTTAAATATTTTTATTAGTGAGCTTCAGTGAGATATACACACTTTTCAAATTTCAGGTCATTCCAATTTGTAAAAAAAATTAAAAATGAAGCACTATCCGACAATCGTTACCGTGCGATGAACTTTGGACAGTGATAAGGATAGGCGAAATCACTGTTCATTTTCGCCTATAAGTGTTAGGAAGATTTTTTCATATATATATATATATATATAGATCAACAGATTTTAAGTCTTGAAAATATTGTATTTTGTAAAACATTATTCGCTTGATCGAAAATATTTTCGGTGCTTTAATTTAACAATTATGAGTGAAGCATACTTTCAGGCCATTATAAAATTTCTTGACACCAGAACTGTATTTGCCAGCAAGGTTTAGAGGTGAGGTTTACTTTGTTTAAACAACGATGAATGAAGCGAAATTGGAGGCACTAGAGCAAGGATTGCAGCTGGTGGTCCAAAGGAGTATGCAAAACCCCTGTATGTTTGACTAAGATTCTCTAAATATTACAAATTAATGCAACCACGTTTCGAGGCCTCCACGGCATTTGAGAAGGAAGTGGATGAAAATCATGGATCTGCAAGTTTCTTTTGAGCATGTTTACATGGAGGCGAATAACATAGCAGATGGTCTTGCAAAAAGAGGAGTGGATTTTCATTCCCTTAATATCTCTGATGTAATTTTGTCTTGAACTTTCGTATCTCTCGTTATTAATAAACAGTGAGTAATCTTATAAAAAAGAAAAAGTTGCTTTATATAAGAGAGCTTAAAAATCCCCACTCATATATATTTTGTATATATCCATCATTTGGATGAGTGACAAAACAAGAATGATAGAATTCGAAATGAATCAATTTGGGAGAATTTAAGTGTGGCATCAATAGACGATAATATGAGAGAGAATAGACTTAAGTGGGCTGACCATGTGTAGTATCGACTAAGTACAACACCTGTTAGGAGATGCGAGTTAGTTCAAGTAGAATGACTGAAAAGGGTAAAGGGTCGGCTTAAAAAGACGTGGTTAGAAGTAATCCGTAAAGATATGAGAACTTATGGCTTCACTGAGGGTATGACCTTTAATAGAGTAGAATGACTTTTCCAGGATTCTTGTGGTTGAACCCAATTAATTGCGAAAATTCTATGATTAAGACAATGATGATGATATATCCCCTATCTCCAAACTGTCTGATTTGAATGGACAGCTGAGATGACATCAATCGTAATTTCATGTCAAAACAATAGTTTATTTTTAATTTGTTTATAAATGACACTGACACCAAATTTGGGGCCTCATCCCCTATTAAGCTTGCACCAACAAAAAATATGAAAAAGTATTCCTGATATAATAAAATAACCAAATTACTCAAAGTTCTAAAGGTATTTTGGTCATTTTATTTTTAAAAAAGTATTTTTAAATTTATCTTTTTTAAGTGTACCCTATTTGAGATGATGATCCATACCAAATTTCATATTCATATGATTTGTTGAAGAAATTAAAATTAAAATACTCTGAGATGTCAAATCTTAGATCAAATGGTCAGTTGCTCACTTGTGACATTATTGTTGAAGCTTTCCCATCCATCCATTAAATCAGACGGCTAAGAGATGAGAAATGCCGATAAAATATATATGGCTGAGGATGTATAGTGAGCTCTCCTTTTATATAAAAGGATTATACACAATGAGACCATTTACCTTGGATAAAAGGTGGTCACAATTACTTACAACCATCCTATACAAAATTTGATAGCTTAGGTTTGTCACAAAGTTTGAAAAAATTCTTTTGAACTTTGAACTTGGTCAACAAAATAAGTACAGCCACCAAATTTCACATCCAATAGTCAAGATTAGTTTTAACCACCTTTTACCAAAGATTAATGAACCTATTCTATACTTTTCCGTATATAAACCCCACCCGATAAATATGGAGTGAGAGAGAGAGAATCAAATACAATCTCAACCACCATAGCTTCTTGAAACCCAACCTTTGAATACCTACAAATAAGCTGCTAAATGTCCTCAATAACAATCTATCACACCGTCAAAACCTCTCTCAAACCGCCCCCTCGTCCTTTTGCTTCCACAAAAGTGAAACGGCGGTTGGATCAGAATTGGCCGATTTGAATTAAGAATTGGTGAAGCCAATCTAGTTCCTCGCGCGAGAACTATATAGATCCCCAGAGAACTGGTGGATGCAACCTCACCCTCTTTTTTTATTAGTATTATTCAATTTTGTTTTTCCTTCTTTTTTGCCCGGTTCTCTTATAATCACTGATTTAAATTAATTGGCTTTTAGGACTGGCGACCCAAGTCCCAAACCTGTTTTTAAACCTTGGCTTCCATAAAGCAACGAGTCCAAATTACTTACAAATTTCCTTTAAATGAATTCTAAATCAATTTGCATTTGATAAACCCTAGGTTTCAAATGCCATCAATCATCACCATCCATTTTCCAAATCAATGATTTTCAAAAGATCTCATAAAAGCATCTCTCCGTGGGGCGTCCCACTCTTTCTTTTTCTAAGATTCAAATTTGAAATAAAAACTATCACATGTCACTTTCCACATATGCCATGTCATAAGCTCACCCATGCACATTCTCTTCAAAAACCAATTACGCTCATCAAAGATAAGTGTACCAACAAACATCTCATGAGAGGCACTCCACACTAAGGGCTGCACATCATATCCATGTGGAATGATGTGACAATCATGTGGGGTCATGTGGCGGACATTGGCTACTTGTGTGTTATCCTTCACCTGTGTGTGGCCTTGTAATTGATTGGAAGTTTGCTCAAAAAAATTTAAAACTCCATTCTATTCAAATAAAATTTTTTATAATTTTTTTTAAAAATTACTAATATCCAATCTCAATTGTTCCCTATCGAAATAAAGCAGTTTTGCCTCTAGAAAATCATAAAATAGGGTAATTAATCCTTCTTAAAATAAAATCTGGTAGTAGGGTTCCATTGGGCTAGCTTTGGAACCCTAGACCATTATCTCAAGTTTCCCCTACAAGACCTATCTACCACAACCTTTGGCTACGGTATATGCTTGGCTTATTGAAGCTTACCTAATACATGGACAAATCTCGAAATAACAGTGGATTGCAAGTACACCCCCAAGGACATGACTGTTGCTGATGTAGGGACCCTCTCTCTAGTACATGTGTATAATTCTAAAAAGTGGATCATACATTGAAAGAGCGGCTTCTCATTTGAGATGATATATGCACATGTTGTGAGAAGGCTCGAGGTTAGGGATTTCGGCCCATGTCCTCTCAATGCCTAGTCTTCTTACTCAGTTTTTATTCTCACACGAATCCTTAGAACAATTAGATTCTCAACTCCATCACTCATGCCTTGGCTTGCACAATCATGAGGCCCTTTTGCACCAAGCATGACCAGAGGAGACCTTCAAAACTCTCTGTTTTGTTAAGGTCCTCGGACATGCCTCATAACTCGGGGTTTTGCGACATTTTAGATGCCAATTTACCAAATTTTGG